CCAGGAATGGATGGAGAGTAAAAGGTAGCTATAAATAGCATCGGCTCAAACGCTGCTGTTGGCTGGATATTCCCAATGGTGTGATCAGTAGTTTGAGTGTCAGCAGTGGCCCGAGGCAGGTAGCCCGCGGGTTCATGTCCTGGTTATGGTCGAGCTGCTTAGGCCCCAGTTGACATGTCTTTTACACACACACACGCACACAGACGCACACACACACAGACACACTTACACACTTGCACTGACAACAAAAGCTCTCATCTCTCTGTCTTTCTCACTGCAGGTATTTCAAAATGAATAACACATACAAATGGAGCCAAATGGGATGTGACACTGCTGATTATTTAAAATCTATGTATAAAATCAACTAAAATGTCTAAACAAACAATCACTGTAAATGAGTACATGGCAATGCACAATATGCATCGATATGTTTTGGCCATTCTGGACTGTGGCTTCCAACCTTTAGGGATCAATGCTTTGTATTTAATTACCAGCTTTACAATGGACTACTAACACATTTCTGCACATGCCCTTTGAGCCATATTAGGTTACTTTTCTGTTCATATTATACGTTAAAGTCTGTTCTACGCTTTGAAAAAAACAACATTTAAATGTAATTGTCAACAAGGTCTAAAGGCTGGAGTTCACATATGGTGGTGGTTATATTACTGTTATATATAACCCACATTCCTGCAAAGTAAAGGTAGTTTCACAAAGTTAAGAAACCATTAATTCAAGTATGTATGTAAGATCAGACAGGAAAGAAAGTGCAAATTATACCTGATTTATTTGTTGTCAAATTCACAAAAGGATCATGATTCATCACAATATTGTCTCAGACTTTAGTCTCAAAAACCACTGAAACAGTGATTCATGCTTTGTTATTGTATCTCAGACCACCGCAGCTTGAAATTCGACTGATATTATGTAATTTGTTTATGCAACGGACATAACAGGATAATGTATGTTGCCGCAGAAATACCAGGAACAACTGCACCAATAGCGACTGAATTTGAAATACGAGTAATGCATTGTATCATTGTTTTAATGATGTCACTGCACATGCATTGTTGAGCATACTGTACATACAGTATGGAGCTCTGTCTAAATACAGTTTGTGCGTACACACATGATTGTGTGTGTGCGTACATGACTGTATACTATAGATGAGTGATAGGGTTTCCTCATAAGCCGGCCTAGGCCTTTTGCATTCCTCTCATCGGTGGAGTCTGATGTGTGCAGGCCTTTCAGCTAATCTGGGAAGAATGTCGGCTGCAGACACACATGTGTTCCATTAAGTCCAGATCTGCGTAAATAATATAACATGCAACAGCTAACGTTACAGGTAACTATACCCCACAGCTGTGCCTTTGGCTTTGCAGTGCCACACCACCCCCGCCTATAAAAAGCCAACGCTGATAACTAATGAGTAGACGTATCAGAGCGTCTACTGCGCTTCAGGCTGCTGATTTGGAGGAAAATAAAGACGATGAATTATTTATTAGACGAGAAGAACTTGACAGATAACAGATTTTAATGGATATTGAGAATAATAAAAATCCAATAACAATATATCAGCCCATAATGTTTTAGCTCCTTCTTGAATTGTTTTGTGTTTACATATAGCACATCATAAGCTAGGAAATTCTAAAGATTTCGAGATTCAAAATAAATAATGATATGGTTAAATATTAACTATAAAGAAAATAAACATATTAATAAAATATATGCTGAATGTCATACAGTAGGTACAAAACAATCCTTTTTTCAATCTGAAAGTTCACAGTTTGCCTTAGTTATACAATGTTGAGGTTCGATCACTCGTTGTTAGTGGAAACATTTAGCATTTCACTTTTCTAGATTATTTTAACAGACATGTTAAAAAAACTACCTGAAACGGTCAGTCGCATCAGCATAATCAGTAGCATTTGTACACATTTGTACATGAGCATAAAAATGTGTCACATGGCATGAGCCGTCCCAGAGAGCATATCACAGCCCAACATTACCCCCCCCCCCCCTTCCCCCATTGTTAATGGCTCTACCTCCAGCTGACCCCTTATTGGTTGTCCGTGTTTATTGTCTGCCTGCTCAGCTTGTTCTGATTGGCTCCTCTTTGCCAAGCGACGGGACAATGTTTGCTTTTGCTGTCTGCCTGGGGAAGTCCCTGTTGTCCCCGGCCCGGCCCGGCTACATTAACTGATACAAAGTTCAGAGGATGCCAGCCTCTTCCTGGTGTGGTGCAGCATCTTCCTGTGGCTGCACACCAAAGTCAGTTAGAAACTGTGAGTGAGTTAAAGAGTTATTGTTTTATATATTTATTTATTTTACCTTTACTTTCTCCCAGAGGGATTACAGTAGCATGGGCAAACAGCTGAACTCTGCCTTCTGCTCTATTTTGGTCAGAACTACAGTGTTGGTGTGCGGGATGAAAGAACAAAGACGAACAAGTGGTTAGACTCACCATGGTGTTGAGCAGAGATGGTAAACGGCTGGCAGCATCTGGTTTTGGTAGAAATATCACAACAACCTAGAGCCAGCCAGAAACAGAAAGAAGGGTGACAGCGGGTGAGAGCGTCTGAAGTGAGGACTAGAAAACAAAAGAAAGGTGTCAGAGAACAAGTGTAGAGCACAATGCTTTTCTGCACTTGCAAACTGTTGTGAGCCAGCAAGGAAATGTGAGGAGTTTGGCTGTTGCTGTTCTGGGTGCCAGCACTCCTAATGAGTCTGTCAGGGCCAGTTAGCGCAGCCAGGCCTGCTTGTGTCCCCTCCAGGCCGCAGACAGCTGTTATTAGCCCCGTAATGGCATGCCACAGGGCCAGATTAGCCTGGCACACTGGAGAAATATCAAACATTCACTTACTGTGGCTCCTTTGCTGGCTAAAGCAGCTATTCTGCGAGGCATTCATTTAGCGGCCATGCTGGCAAGCTACCTAACAAGCCAAGAAAGAAAAAGTCTCCATTGAGGGAGGCAGTTAGTGAACAGTAGCTGCTCTTAAAGGCAGAAAGGAAAATAAATATCCGACTAGAGGACATGAAGGCTCAACATACCGGGTCATGTTGCTGATTATGAACTAGCATGGCACTTGAAATAGTGTAAAATAATTATTTCTTACATTTTGTCTATGAAAAATGAAAACCCCCTTGTAAAATAATGCAAATGGCTTGTTGGATGTCAGGGTGCCGCAGCATCGAGGAAAAGTTGTAAATGAGAGTTCTCTTTAATAACGCTGTGTCATCATTATGCGAACCATATCGACGAGATGGCCACTGCTGTCTACTCATCTGTTTTCACCTTTCATAATGAGCGCAGGAAATCAAAACCTTACACAGCAAGTACTCTCGCTCTGCCTCAGGGGATAGCCCGCCGCTTTATACTGTCAGTGATAGGCTATTAGGTCAGTATACTGTATACTGTTCTGCATATAACACTGCTTATTATAAGGTATAAATCCTGCTCTAAAAAGACTGTGATTTCTCTAATGTGTTTCATGCATGGTATGTTACATAAGCTTCTGCACACATTGCCTGTGGGTTTCAGTGCGTGGTAATCACTACGCATTTAGGCCCATAAACGCAATCTGCAAAGGTGTGTTTATAGCGGTTCCACTATAAAAGCTGAGGCCTGCAATGCTCATGAGTGCACTGAATGTGTGTTTGCCTGCACCATGTGACTGACTAGAATTAAAGGCAGGGCCAGTTTTGGGTGGTTCGGGGATGTTTTTCTCTACATTTTCAAATAGAGTGAAACACTGCATATCTCACTGCATAGCAATATGTAAGGTGCTGTATTTGCGAGTGATTTTCTGAATGAGGTAAAGAATAAATACTAAAAAAAGAAGTTGAAGCAAGTAAAAGATTAAGTATGAGAAAGAGAAAAGGATAATGGGATATTTGTTCTAGATTGCTGCACTGTGTTTTTTCCTCCTCAATGATCTACATCCCTTCCTCATTAGTTCACTGTATATCAAATGTGGCAAAGCTATTAAGCGCAGAGCGTGTGGCCATTACCACACACAAATATATATATATATATATATATATATATATATTCATGTTTAATCCTCTAAATGCATAGAAAACCAGTTTCTACATCACTAGTTACAGCCTTCATTTTAACAGCAGGCAACGCGCAGCTATCAAACAGATTCTCCGACACCAGAAATGTCTGTAGATCGTATAATCAATTAACACACATACACAAAAAATAGGTTATCACTCTTCAGATGGAGGAAACCACATGCAGACTGTTGACCAGATGTTAGAGTCAGAGATGTTAATGTTATAAAGATAGAATACCAAGAAGGTGTAGTGAGATGTGTATGTGAGCCGTGAGATAAAGACAAGGAGTGTGAGAGAGAAAGTAAGATTAGAAGTGAATCCTGGGAAAAGCCCCGCTGAGGCTGTGGACCCCTGTGTGGACCACACTGAACTGTCTCTCCTGGCAGGGACCACTTGTTGCGAATAATTAGCCTCTCCACTGAAGGCTTTGCCACCACTCCCTCAGGTTATGTTGTACAGCTAAAGCCCACGTAGGCAAGTACATGAGGGACCCACCATTCAAGTTACAGGCTGTGTAACGTATAGAAAGATGGAGTCAGTGAGTACAGTGGAGCAGAGCACAGGAACCCTGTTACCAAACACAACAGCTTCGTTACATTAGTGCCGCCGCTGAGCCAACCTTATCCAGTTATTATGTGTGGGACATCACCATGAGGTGATGTGATTTAACTTGGCATCCAATGTGCAGGCTTGGCGGAAATGTACGAAACCCGCACTGGTGAACAAAAGTAGGACCATGAAAAGATCTACAGTCTTTATGATCCCTGCACTTTGGTTAAGAAAAATAAAACTGACTTTGAAGTGAGTTTAGAAGTTAATACATTCAAATCCCGATTGTGATATTATTATGATGTGTGAAGTGTTTCCTCTTTGCAAAGGCTGATTTCTCTGTAAAAGGAAAGTATGTTTAACATTTCTCTCTCTCTTTACTCTTACAGAACAGATACACTGCTGCAGATCGAGGTGTGAGGCTCTACAGTTCCTTGCCTATGCGCCCAAACCCTGACGGCAAGAGACTGCCCTCTACTGGGGTAAGTCTCCCAG